GCTAGTCATTCAGCTTATGCAGCTTCTTTGACTTAGCCTAAATATAAGTAGGATTTATTTTTAATCCATTCCCTTATTCCGTATAGGTAGGATATAGCAATTTTTGAGCCAAATCCAAACCTAGTATGTCACCGTCCCATACCAATGCATACAATCCAATCCATCCGGCAGTTAATAGAATAAATAAAAATATAACTATCAACCAATCCATACATTCCACAATTAACAATAAAACACTAAGTACAAATATCAATTGTTCCATATTAAGCATGATAAAATAATTGTCAATTAACAAGCTTAATCTATACTACTCTATAAGGTCCACTAATTGATATTACAGTTTATACATGTAAACCAATTAATTCTAATCAACCATAATAGAATATAAATGTTCACAGGTTTATTTTTAGTAATTCTGGAACATGACTAACTGCAAATCATCACTAAGAATTTTAATACCAAAGCTTAAACATCTTGCAGTTCCTCCCATCCAAACTGTAAACCAACTTAGGCCCAAATAAGCATACTAAACCATTTAAATCCACAAGCTTATTTTATAACATTGAGATAGGTTTAATTGAGAATTTTATTGCTAAGAATTGCTATTCTAAGTGTTAAGCAATTCTGCATCCTTTCATAACAAAAACCCAGTAAACTGATTAATTAAGCATTGTCCACTGACGCATTAAAACAAAGTTGTTTTATTTTGCATAAATCTTCTCTCAAGGATTTTAATCAAGCTTAGACCACCTCTAAACACCTCAGTATAGCTTCCAACAGAAACTGAAAATCCCAAAATCCAAGTTCTGTAGCCCACACAGTCGCAGAAAGATTAAAAAATGCACACCTGAGGGAAGAGCCTGCTCCACCAAAAGAAAAGCCTGCTCTTCCCATCTTGGAGCCAGCTCTACTTAAAAGTAGAGCCTGCTCCAAGACCCCTAGAGCCGGCTCTACTTAAAAGTAAAGCCTGTTCTTCGTCCGGAAGAGCCTGCTCTTTAAAACAGTAAGCCGTCTCTCTCTCTGTTCTTCATCATTTTGAATTCCGGTGAGTTTCTGATGAACTGACCTTCATACCTAGGGTTCCTAAGTGTTTAAATTAGGTTCCAACTTATACCAGAATCCACTAAATTCATTGTTCAGTTACTAAAATTAATTAAAACATGAATTTTGCATCAAAAGTTTAATACGAGCAGTTTAAGCATTCCGGAGCATCAACTGTTGTAACATATCAAACTTGCAACCTAAATTAATTCTAGTGCTTCCCAACATGTTATAGAACTAATTAAAATCATTACTCATCAGTTTATACGAATTAAACAGAGGTTACACAAGGAAGAAATTAAAACAAACAATACACACGTTTCAACTACAAACAGTTTTAAAACAACAGAGGTACAAGAAATCCAGTTTAATTTTAATCCTTAACAGTTCCCTGGAGTTGTGTTAGACATGCAAAGAACATGAGGCAACGGGAAGGAGTGAAGATTAGAACTTGCCTTTAGGTCTCAGTTTGAAACCTTGCACCGTTGCTTCCTAAATTCTCCGGCGAACTCCGACTGCTGTAAGCCTTCCTCTGTTCTCTCTCTCTGCCTCCACCGACGTGTTTAAGTTCTAAAACCCTAGGTAAACCTTAATGTATATATTTATAGGATTAAGGTTACCCTAATTCTAGTCCTAATACTAGACAGGCAACTAAGTCGGCTAAAGAAAAATAAAACAAAACCCTAAGTTCAATTAACGAAAAATAGAAAAAAAATAAAATACAATTTAATAACTAATTAATTAATTCACAAACCACCACTAAATAAATAAAAACTAATTTAATTAATTCACAAACCACCACGAAATAAATAAAAACAAATAAAGTCACACGTAATCAACAAATTCACAACTAAATAAATAAAAACACAATTTAAATAATTAAATAAATTCCAGAAATATCCTTGTTAAATTAGGGGTATTACAGGTTCTCTATACCTTGAATGGCTTGGAGTGGTTTTGCTTCAATGGTTTTTATTAAATGTTTTACCTTAAATGCATATGTATTTTATTTATATACTCACATGAATATGTATATTTTGTGAAGCTATTTTGTTAAACCTTCATGAAATTCTTGTTATGGTTTTTCCTATCGGGACTTTTTGTCTCACCACCTTCCAGTTTCAGGTACAGAAGATAAACGGGGATTGCTAGATTCGGGCTTAGGTGGAAGAGTCGGCGTTACAGGATTTATTTATTTATTTGGAGAATTTTGTGTATATTTGAGGAAATTGATTTTATATCAATAAGGGCATTTCTTTTTTATGATCCTGGGTGTATTTTGATGTATTTTGATTTGAATGAATTGAGGATTTTATTGGAACTTCCGGGTCGTGACAAAATGGTATCAAAGTATTTTATTAGAAAACTTGGGGCGTGACAAAATGGTATCAGAGCCTGTACCCAGTCGGAAGTGTGGGTGTAGTGATGATGTAGACGGGTGTGAGTGGGTGAGTGTGTAGTACTGGTCAGCTACCACTTGTAGTCGGTGTGTGTGGGCGGATAGTGTTCACTGGCAGTTACTGGGATGGTTGGTTAGTGTGATTGGGCAGGTAGCCCGGGTTTGTTATTATTTTTTTAGTGGGTGGGTGACGAATCGACTAGCTACCACAACGGTTACGGAGTGTGTGGGTGAGTGACTAGCACTAGCAGCTACCACAACGTCCTACATATCACGGTATCTCGCATCGCCTTGGGTAAGAATTTGTGGATTTGGTTTTGTGGTTATTGGTGTTTTTAGGTATGAAAAGACTGTTGGATTCGAATTTCAGGGATGAAATTCTTTTTAAATGGTGGAGAATGTGACAACTCGGATTTTTAAGATTTTAAATTTTATAATTTTTAGTTTTTAAGATTTATAATCTAATTTTAAATTGGAGATTTACCCTATTGAGATTTTTATTGGGAATGGATTTGATTTTATTGCAATTGTAATTATCTATTATATATATGTGTGTGTGTGTGTATTTATGTTTTGTTGCTGAGGAGAGAAACAAATGGGTGGCTGTTGAAAGAGTGGGAAATGAGAAAGGAAATTGTAATGATTTTAAGTGGGACCCACTAATGGAAATTTTAGGCAAAGCTATCTATTCACCTGGCTTTCTTTTTTGTTTCTGGGGCTGATGCAGTTTGTAAGGTAATTTGCATTAAATGAAAAGAGAAAGGTCAGCCTAGATGGGAAACGAAGTTTAGGTGGCGGGGTCCGCTTGTAATGATTTTATTGATATTTGATATTTTGATTGTGTGGTGAGCAAGCTATGTGTGATGATATGTTGGTACAAATTTCATTTATATATTTGTATCAACTTTGTGACCTTAGAAAGATGTAGAGATAGAAAAATTAGAGGGACAGAGTGATCCGATAGAAGATAGAGAGAGTTACAGAGGGAGGTCCGAGAGTTACAGAGGAGGCCGGAGGTTTAAGGCTTTGATGATCCAATGAGGAAAAATTCTTTTTCAGTGTAGGGTTTTCTATACCTTGATTGGCTTGGAGTGGTTTTGCTTCAATAGTTTTTATTAAATGTTTTACTTAAATGCATATGTATTTTGTTTATATACTTACATGAATATGTATACTTTGTGAAGCTGTTTTGTTAAACCTCCATGAAATTCTTGTTATGGTTTTTCCTACTGGGACTTTATGTCTCACCACCCTCTAGTTTCAGGTATCGAAGACAAACGGGGATTGCTAGATTCGGGCTTAGATGAAAGAGTCGGCGTTGCAGGATTTATTTATTTATTTGGAGAATTTTATGTATATTTGAGGAAATTGATTTTGTTTCAATGAGGGCATTTTTTTTATGATCCTGGATGTATTTTGATGTATTTTGATTTGAATGAATTGAGAATTTTATTAAAATTTTCGGGTTATGACAAAATGGTATCAAAGCATTTTATTAGAAAATTTGGGGCGTGACAAGATATGGCTAGGGGTCTTGTTGGACATAGAGTTGGAGTTAGGGACTCCACAAGCATGTGGATAGACTGCTGGTTACCAAATGGACCTATTGCAAATTAGCTTGGGCTTACTGATTTGGAAATTCTCCAACTGGACTCCCAAATCAAAGTTGATAGCCTAATTTTCAATAATCAGTGGGACATTCCAAGCACTCTTCAACATATACCTTTATTTCATTCTCAGAAATTTACTTCATAGCTTCATTGGATTCCCCTTCCATCAAATGATAATGATCAAATTCAATGGCTCCCCAGCTCAACAAATGAATACTCTCATAAGCTTACTGTGGAGTCTTTCTCTCCCCCCCTCTCTGGTCTTTGCTTGGGAAAATCTTATTTGGTTTAAGTACCCTATACCCAATCATGGTTATAGAGCATGGCTGGCTCTTAAGGCCAGATTGGCAACTCTGGATACCAAACCAATGCTAAAGATCGAAGCAGTAAACAAATGCCTGTTACTTATGTCTTGCAGGAGGTGAATCTGTGGACCACATTTTCTTCAAATGTCAATACAATAGCATTCTGTCGGAATTTGATCAACATGCAGCAGGGTTTTACATCAAACCAGACAATTGGAGGGATCTTGTTGGTTGGTGCTATATCCACGGCGCATGTTGATTTGTTCCTATATCCACGGCGCGCATCATAAATTCACTATATCTATTGAGTAATTACAAGATGTGGATTAGCAGATCCTACATACGCATACACCGTGTATCTCTCTCTAATTCCTGAAAAATACAGTGTGTTTTCTTGCTCAATCACTCTCTGGAAAATATACACACTATATTTCTCTCCTTTTCTTTCCTTCTTATCTCTCACTTGCTCTACTTCTTCTCTGTGCTCTCCACACAACTCTTCTTATTGGTGTGTGGTGTTTTTTGTTGTGATCTTCCCCCTTGCATTTGTTCTTTATTTATAGGCAAGGTAAACCTTGTAGTGTCCAAATTGGATTCAAGAATTAGTCTAGTCAGTGTCTAATCTTTGTGGACAAATTTAGTGCAGGAAACCAAATGCAGCCTTGCATTAGTCAAAAAGAAGTTTGGTGAGAACCGTTGTTGCCAAATTGAGCCATTATTCTAACATATAAACAAAATTACATATAGAAAATTAAAATTATTCTCACTTTAAATAAACATGTTTATTAAGATAATCACTTGTCAAGGGCCTGAACAAATAAGCCGCCTGTGTCTCAATCAGCTCCAGTTGCCCTCCCAACATGTGCATGTACACAACCCAGTCTCCATTCCCTACCGGACTTGGCATGGGCATCACGTACCCGGTCTCCCCGCCCCACGGGAAATGGTACGACCCGAACACAGGCTTCCCCCACCCGAAATCCACCTCTGACACCGGAAACCTCTGCCCCGACGAAACCACCACTGCCGGCCCCCCATCCTCGCTGGCACTGTATATCTTTGTCATAGCAGGCTCCGGACGATGAGCCTCCACCCAGTCTATGAGCCCCAAAAAGTGTTCCTTTGTCCTAGCAGCCTGCAAGCACTCATGTACTGCATTTGCCACCCAGCTCAGCGGCCTCTCCTCCAGCTCAGTGATCCTCTTTTCGTCACAGGGGATGGACAACACGTTCCCGAAGTAAGCAGACATCATCACCGCCTTTTCGCCACTGTCTCCTCCGCTCAGCTGAGCCCTCCCATCCACCACAATGCCTATCCTGCAATTCTTGTTGCTACCATGTTCAGTACTGGCTGCAACCACTTTCCACACAAAGGCACTGAAAGCCTCGAGCTTAGTCCTTCTTTCTCCGCTAGCACTCGCCAATGATTGAAGGTGACTGAGCTGATTGGCCTCGATGTAATATATTCGGCTTATCAGGTGATCATCATCGGGGTTTTTTTGTTTTGGTGGTGGCATGGCCGAGATGGGCATGTACATGTTGTCAAGGGAGGGATCGTAGTGGCCAGGATGCCTAGGGTTGAGCAGAGACCGGCGGAATGATGGGAGTAGAGAGAGTACCGGTTTGGACCTAGCCATCTCGGCCCATGACACAAGAAACATGTTGGCCGAGTAGGCATCGGCCACTTGATGATCAAACGTGCACCCTACTACCAAACCTCCACATTTGAGTTCGGTAACCTGTCAATATATATATATATATAAATCCATGTTAGTGTAAAATGCAATTCAGCCAACAATAATCCAATTGATTAAAAAGAAAATGACAATTAAAATAATAATAGGAAGCATTATTTTATGGGGTCGGTAGGTGTGCTGAAGCTTGGTTCAACCAGCTTCTTTTTTCAAGAATGGAAATAGTGCAAACCTTTCTTATCTTGGATTTAATTTTATGTATGAAAATGATGGAAATGATATATATTATTGGTGAAAATTAGAGTACTAGCTAGATTTTCTATGATTGGAAACCTAACAAACAAACGTTGGATTATTTTAAGGATCCATGCATGGCTAGCTATTGGATTCCTTACACTTTCCACCATTTCTTTTGTTTTTCTTTTTCCGTCACTTTACACCATTTCCCATGCACCAATTCAAACAAAAGCCTCACCCTCACATATTTTTCTGATTTCAAATCGAGAGGGTTAATTGTACTATGACAACTTTACTTAAGGCAAGGAAATTACCGATTGGGTTGATCCCACCACAAAAGGCATGGCAGTGTCCACAATCGAAAACTGGAATCCTCACTCCTCTTCACTTGCGCACAAACAACCATAGTTATATATATATGTATGTATATATATTGGCAAATAACTTCCACAATGTTTGTAAGAAGACTTAGATCGAATTTCACTTTTTAGAATAGATATCACTAAGTCACTTGTGTTAATAAGTTATCTTGATCAAATGAAAACTTAAATCTTTAGCTTGCCAAATGATTAGAATTAGACATGGAGAGCTAAATTAACATGCATGCCATGATATATAGATCTCACTGACCTGGACAGAGAGCACTCCTTGCTTCTTCTTAGGGACCAGCTTGCCTTCTATGCACTCATCGGGATTGTGAAAGTTGAGTTGTTGGAGCTCTACGTCCGCATAAGCTTCGATGAAATCCACCCCACGATTGTTGCAGATGACTTCAGGCTCGCCCAAGCTGTTCTGCACAACCTCCCCGGCAAATGCATAGTAGGTCACCAAAGCTTGAGCCATGGCTTTCTTAAGGACACTGACCATGTAAGTAAAGCTGAACAAGTTGTCATCCTCTGCTTTCTTGTAACAGAAGAACACACCAACATCGAGTGGAGGCAAAAGCAAGTCCAGATTGGACTGTGGCAGCCAATGCTCTAGCATTGGCAGCACAGCTGCCACTACTTCCTTCCTCCTCAGCTCTACCAAAAACGGATCAACTTTCACTGCCATATCCATATTATTGTCTAATCAATTTCTTCTTTAGTATGTATGTGTGAGGGATCGATGGTGTGTGAGGTGATTTATTGATTTAGAGAGCTAGGGATCATAACTACTGTATATATGTATATGCATGTATCGGCATATATTTGGATTTGTAAGAAGACGGGCTAGTATTTATTTATAGGATCGAGACGGACAGATCCCCTGTCCTGTGTGCATCAAAACGATGTCGCAAGTATAAAACTTATACGTTTATCAAACCTACTAAAGTATGGTACTACCTCTGTCCTATAATAAAGGTCCATTTATATAAATTGGAGTTTTTAAGGGAACATGCAATTAATGTATTAAAATTATTAAATTGTCCTTTCTAATTTAAATATATATAATTACAAAGCTTGGAATTTTTTAAAAATAAAAAATAATGATAGAAATATAAAAGAAAGATGCTTTGACTTTTTAAAAAGAACAACTAATTTGAGATATGTAAAAATAAAATAATAGACTACTAATATAAGACAAAAGGAGTGTCTCTCATCAAATTGTGATTGGCAAGTCTCTAATTACTTTCTCCACCAAACTGAACTATATTTATAGTCAATTTCTTGCGTGGGTGGCAGGAATGGGCGAATCACGGGCGAATCACGAAACTACCAACCTATTAATATCTTCAAGTTATCTAACCCAAAAAAATGACAAAAGTAACAGAAGAAAAAAAAAAAAAAATCAAAGTTGGGTATTATCATAGTATACCCACTGATGAAATAATGAATCAAGGTCCCTTTGATTCATTGGTCTGCTCCCGGTATAAATATATACAAACATTTTTTAAGACGTTTCATGTTACCCTAATAAATCGATAGCTTCAAGCCTTACTTATTAAAAAAGTGCAATACAAGCTCCGGTGCACCCCTTGTATTTTTCTTTGTTGCTATTTTCTCGTGGTTCACGCTTCGAGTCGGTGGGTTTCGTGTTCTATATTATGTATATAATATATCTAAACATACACATAATATATATATATATATATATATATATATATATATTATGTGTATGTTTAGATATATTATATACATAATATAGAACACGAAATATATATATATGTAGTCATTACAGAGACCCTACTGTGATATCATATGACTCAATTTGATGCCAAATAGAGGTAAATGTTTTTTTTTTGTTTTAAACATTATGTTGATGGCACTGATTCAGTTCTACTAAACATAGCAAGTATCATTTAAATATATAAAAAGATTAAGAGAATGTTATATTTATTCATGTTAATTTTTTATTATTAATAATAATATTATTATTATTCATCAGTAAATGGTTAGAGTATATTAGAGCAAGTGTTGTAACTCTACAAACTAAGCAAACCATAAGAGGGAGCAAATTAACGCACCACCAAATGCTTCAATGTAAAAGATGGACAATAGTGTGTGTAAGTTTTTCCTCAAAGGTAAAAATAAATAAATAAATAAAAGAAAAAAGTGGGAGCATGGAAGGCCAGCTAGCTTAAGGACATTTCAAACATGAAAACAGAACATGGGGAATCATGTAATTAGGTATAACAAACTACGTACATTAGCTAGTGAAGATCGATGCAGCAAAAGGACAATCAGCAGTCCATTAGCTATCTCTGTAAACGATGACAATTTAAAATCACAATTGGAATCTTATCCTACTAAAATAGTACAGTATTAATTAACCAATGGCATCCAATTTTATTTTATTTACTTTTTCCCAGACAAAAGCAAATTGCAGCCAATTGATTACTCTAAAATTATTCCATTTTAAGCCCTAAACATTTATAAAAGAATTCTAACAAGGTCCAAGACCCTCAAGCGAAAAACGGGATGAAATCCTCGAGTTACGATGTGGCCTAGGCCAAAACAAAAATCAGGTGCAACATCACAGTATTCCTTAAACAAATACTCCCTAATACTATAAGATAGATAAAGCATCTAGCAAAGATTATCTAATTAGATGAGCATCCATTCTGGTAATTTTGAAAACATGCATGAATTCGGGGACACAAAAGAGGGTATATTAAACTGCTAAAGCACATTGGAAATAAAATAGCTAGGATGCTGAGAGGAATGGTCAAATAAACATATTAGGTTAGGTTATGAGATAGAGCATGTGACAATAGATTTCACAATTATTATTTATTAGAGACTAAGATACTGGATCAGAAACTACGTGGTAATTGTCGAAATAGTCTATTCTTACTAGATTCACTTAATTTTACTGAATTAAGCCTCAAGATTCACTTTGTTTGATTAGTTCTTAATACTGATGTCATACATAAAGATAGTAAATTGTGGAAAGTAAGAAGGTGTGGCGGTGATACAACATTATCTGGGTGTTAAAAGGTCAGATCTTAAGTATCATTACCCTATATCACGGAATTTTTTGCACTTAACCCAATACCTTTAGCCCCTCCTGCTAACAAATTTACATACATACCTTATTAATGTTGTTGGTAAGATGGAGGAATATCATTAATCATAAAACATAAGTCTGTTAAGTCTGGAGACCTCGTTGAATCACCTTTTAGAGGAGCCAATCCACCACCAGATCGTACCTTCCATACTGGCCGGAGCTTCTCAGAGAAGAGATAGGAGAGACCCCAAAAAAGAGGAAAGTCAGCAAAAGTAAGGGTAATGTTGGAAAAAAAAAAAAAAGATAATCTTGACCTGATTCGGAAATAAAACTTATTTGTCCAGGAAATTTTTTTTAGGACTTAATTGTCTTTCAGTTCCAAAAGTTGGACCATTAAAGAATTTTCCTGCCCTTTTCTTCATTGGTCTGCTCCCTATATAAATATATAGATGGCAGTTTTTATTTTTTTTTAAGACGTTTCATGTTACACTAATAAATCGATAGCTTCAAGCCCTTACAAGAATCATTACTGACGCTACTTATTAAAAAAGTGCAATATAAGTTTCGGGGCACCCCTTCTATTTTTATTTGTTGTTATTTTCTCGTGATTCGTCAAAAAAAATAAATAAATAAATAACAACCTGAATTATTAACGAATAAGTAATTAATCTCCGAGTTATTAAAGTTGCAACTAACCCCTACACTATGCAATTTGCAGATAGCCCACTCAGGCCAAACCCCGGTCAGATCTCGCCGTAAAAGTGACCATGTGAGGGTCAAATGATGCACACTATAATTTTAAAGACTATAATGCCCTTATGAGCATGAAAAATACACTAATGCCCTTTATGCGACCCTTACACCCAAAAACTCGACACCCAAACACACCCTTATCAATATATTATTTATCGTCAATACAAATAAATAAATAAATATATATATATATATATATATATATAGTTCTTCTTCCCCATCTGCTTTCTGATAAATAAAAAAAAATTAAAAAAATGTGTTCACCCCATAAGAAACACACAATGATGAAAGCAAAAAGGAAATATTGGCCTCAAATCTCCAAACCTTCAGTGGGAATCGAAGGCATCATCGACGAGTTTGCGTCTTCGTCGGCAACGTCGGCTCAATATCATACCTCTCAATTGCTCTCAATATCTAAATTGATTCCTGCAATATTTGCATCAATCATATCTAATTTACACCTCAATCACAAAAAAAAATGTTCAATTATTCATGCAAGAAAAGAAAACAGACAGACACACATATATATAGATATTCATATCCGTCTCCATCGCGATCGCCATCGTGAACCCATTCGCAACGCAATCGAACCCAACTCCTCTACCATTCTTGCCATCCCCGCCGATGGCACCATCATCACCGTCCCCACAACAACACCGCCGGCACCACTTGTTGGGATTTATATGCCCTGGTATAGCAAATTCCTGTTTGGATTAATTGACATATGTTCCTGACGTTTCTGAAATATTTATGTTTTATACAATTCGTGAATTCAATGTATTATATTTCGATACACTATGAAATTGATAGTGTCCATGTAATTACAAGAAATATTTATGTATATGTATGTGATGGCAATCAATGCATGATATATAAATAGTAATTATAAATTGTTCATAGTCGGTAATTATGGATGGACTCATAATTAATTAAGACTTGAACTGGATCCGCGTTAGGTTGAGATATATTGCGAGAGCCGTCGTATGCAATTACTCCCTATCACCGTCATGGCATTTGACTCTTAAGCATGAGAAAATTATAGACTCTTTTATTAATTAATAATTACTTTGATTTGTTCGGCGGATTCTTCGGGATCCTTAGACCGACACTTTGGGTAGTTATGTAATTAATAGTTAGAGGGTTATATTTTCAATATTTGCATCATTGCTACTTGTATTTATTTTGTATTGATTATGGTTGATCACAAAGTAAATTCGAAGGCCTTCGTGTGTTTTTAGACAAAATGATTTATTATATATTTATTTATTTAAATTATTATTTTTGTCAAACAAATGTTTTATTGTGATCGAGCCAGAAATAATCAAAGGTACCAAAATAAATATATTAATTAAGTAGTCGGATTGATGGCTATATTTATCCGATAACTAATTATGCATAGAGGGGTCAAAGTGCAATATTGACTTAGAGGTTATTTATTATTTAATTGGAGTTCAATTAATTTCTTTTAGTGGAGTAGAAATTAATTTATGAATTAATTGAATTGGGTCCATGGACCGGGCCAATTATTAATTCATTGAGCCAATAAAATAATAGGCCCAATGGATTCTCACTCATAGCCCAACTTGATATTGGAATCATATTAGATTTGAGACATATGAATTAGAGATGGAGAAGGATTTGTTGTTTCCTTTTCTTTATTTTTATGTTGCCTATAAATATACATGGTCTATGTATATTTTAGGGGGTGATTTTTATGAGAAGGAAAAAGGAATAAATTTTCTCTCTCTAGAAAATTAGGGTTTATGTTCTCATCTAATGGAGGCTCCCACAAGCCTAGTTTTCCAAGGTCATTCAAGGAGGCTTATGAGTGATTCCTAAAGGCAAGACCATTACCAAGAAGATGGAAATCCATGGAAAAGATGTCTAGCAAAAGGGATCTACAATAAGTGAGAACATTCACTTTAGAGGAGAGATCTGAGGTTTACTCAAACCTTGATGTAAGTATTCAATCTTTTAGTTGAATAATACATCATATTTTATTTTATTTTTTGCATAAAACTTGTCTCTATGTGATGAATCAAGATCTATGAATTTAAATCCCTCGAAAAGTTTTTAAAACTAGCACGTTTCCCAACAGTGGTATCAGAGCATGGTTTGATTCATTACTAGAGATCATGATTTTATGAAAATCATCATTCATGGATCCAAAATTATATTCATATATATTTTTATTGATGTATGTTGATGTATGATTTAATATGTTGATATATATTGATACATAATGATGTATGAATAATTGTGAATGAATGATGATGTATGGATGGGCCATGGATGAAGCTTATAGGTTAAATGAATGTAATTTTATCTTTGGATGAATGTAATTAAGGCTTTGATTTAGCCGTTTGAAAGTTCAATGATGTAATTTATTTTTTCCATTGTATTTCAAGTTGTAAATATTTTTAAAGCCATGTAATATTCATCAAAAGATGCTATGAAGCTTCAAGAAGGTCCAAAAGGGTTAAATTATGCTTCAGTAATTTTCTGGAATTTTTTGGAATTTTTCTGGAATTTTTTGAGGCTTAATTTAATTTTCTGGCATTTTTTTGGATTTTTTGGAATTTTTTCGGCGTTTTTCCGGTGGCCGGAGCTTCGCCGGCGGCGAGAAGGGGCGTCGGAGGTGGCCCGGATCAGGTGTGGCGTCAAGATGGTGAGCCTGGCGCGTGTTCCACACGCGCCAGGAGAGTGCACATGCTGGCGCGTGCATTGCACGCGCCAGCCAAGGGAGCTTGAACTCCACGCGCGTGAAGGCGCGTGGAGGCGCGTCCCACGCGCCCCAGGCGCGTGGGAGCGCGTGAGTGTGCATTCCACGCGCCCCAGGCGCGTGCCGGCGCGTGGGAGCGCGTGGGAGCACGTGCAGCTTGCCCTAGGCGCGTGCCAGCGCGTGTGAGGTCCTCCGGGCTCGTTTCAAGCGGCGTTTTGCTTCTCCTGACGCGTACAAGCTTCCTATGGGTGTTTACAGACAGTTGAAGGATGCCCGTACAGCAAGAATAGTTTTTAAATGTTAAAAGCTGAATCCATTGGCCATTTAATTTGCTTTATCTGTCATTTATTGTTGTATGTGATGCATGAAATAATTAATTGCTAATTATTATTGTTCATGCATTGGATCCATGATATTTATTTAAATGGCTTGATTTATATTAATTAAATTATGAAAATTAATTGGATTAGATTACTCATTAATTTGAGGGCACTTATTGGGAAACGAAAAATTATTTTTGTAAATTATTTTTAAAGTGTGCTTCAAATTAAATATTAGTGAATCGTTTAAAGTCCAAATATTTTCTAAATTTAATGGGATTAAAATCAAGACGTTTTGCATGCATTATATCATGTAAATTGAAAACCCTAATTATTAATGACTAAAAATTGAGTGGGAGCGGGGATTTTTATACATTACCCCATGGCCTTCGTTATTAAAACCATTGTAATTAGATCTTCAAAAATAAGGCCCCACGCATGATTTGAAGAGTCTTAATATTACAAGAATGGTTGTCTCATGAAAATAAAAATATTAAATGTTCATTGTAATTAGATCTTTAAAAATAAGGCCCTACGCATGATTTAAAGAGTCTAGATTATAATGACAACATATTTAATGTTTTATTTTTCATTAGAGCATTAATAATGTTATACACTCAATCTAAAATCAATAGTGTTAGCTCCCCAACGGAGTGGTCTACACTAGGTGATTTTAGAAAGGCTAAACATAATCGGGAGTCATTTCATATAGATAGACAAGGCATTGTCTTAAGAGATATGGAGATGATGGGATTTGCCCGTCAATAGCAATAATGAACTTCGCCAACCGAATAAGTTATTGGTGTATTGGTTATCCGATTTTTCATGCAGTGGTTAAGGGACCCACATACTATTTTAATGGAAGTGCTCACCTAATAGTAAATGAATCTCAACAATAGTAATAATGAACTCCTCCAACAGGATAAGTTATTGACATATTGATTGGTTGATTTATTATGCTACAGAGTTGAGGGACCCGCATTAATTAAAAGGGATTGTTCACCAATAATGATAATGATCTCTTATTCGATTGAGATTTATTGTATTATGTGGTTAACAAGCTCATTTTAATTTTAAATATGCATGACATTATTAATAGTTCACCTTGCATATTGTATGAATGCATTTATATTCAGATTAATTATGTCTAATCCAGTTTATCTACTTGCTTACATATTCTATGATATTGGACCTTATTTATAATGACTGGAAAATGAACTTAGATATTTTATTCACAACGTAAGGGTACAAAATGTGTTTATTACTCCTATACCTATCTCTTTTACTTTGAGATACCAAATTTGACATTAATGCTTTTAATAAATTAGATAAGGCAAATGATATGACTTGGTGCAATATTCTAGAGTTTAACTCGAATATACTCCAAAGCTAACATTTGTATTATTTTATTTTCTTCAAGCATCATATTAAATGTCAATGAGATATTTTGGTGAGATTAGATAGAGCATATGCCTAAGTACTGTGTCAAATTTAAATACCATCAAGATAGCCTGATGAACTCCAGTTTGAAATCAAATTTTGGAAAATGATTGTTTATTATTTAAAAAAATTAGCTGGAGATCAATAAGGCTGACTTGGGTGGTAAGTTTCAAGTTGACATGATTATTGCCTTGTTACCAAACTCATTCGACTCTGTTAGAGTGAACTAAATAAGGAATCAGTTTGAGTTCACACTCGCTGATATTCTTATAGAATTGGTAACAGAAGAAGGGAGAATCAAAAGTATGGGCGTTCCTATCAATCTAACCTAGTCTATACCATCTTCTTCTAGGCCCAAGTGGACGGGCAAAGCAAAGAAGAAGGATGATAATAGGACTAGACTAGCACAAAACATGGGTATTCAAAAAGGTTAAAGGGAATAAGGCAGTGTAGGTTGAGGGCGAAGAAACCTGTTTCTTTTGTCGCTAACTAAAAACACTAAAGGACGAACTGTTTAAGCAATGACGTGGCATAGGAAAATATATATTTAATCATTGAGCCATGTTATGTGGTTGCGTCTATTAATTCCTGATGGATAGATTCTGGAGCCACTAAACATGTTTGCAATTTATTGTAAGGATTTCAGGAATCCAGAAGCCTTGATGATATGGATAGATATTTATCTTTTGACCTGATGCCAAGGTTGTAACTAAGTCAGTGGGAGTATTACATCTGAAATTAGAGAGTATGAGGATATTAGTATTAGAGAACTATCTTTATGCACAGAAGTGAAACGCAATCTCATTCTTATTTCACTTTTGGCTTATAAAAAAACTAGATCGTTATTTTGTAAAACTGGTTTTATAAAATTGAATAGATATGTGATTGCTTCTGGTGTATTGAAAGATGGTTAATATACTATAATCACAAGCTCTTAAGATTTGCAGGATGTAGAAACTAATGTTGCATCTTCTAGATTGAATGTTAAGAGAAAATTTGTTATTCCTGACTCATTGTATTTTTGGTGTCTATTTTTGGGTTGTAATCAATCAAAATGAGATTTAAGATTGGTTAAAGAAGGTTTATTACCTAGTGAGGCAGAGGAGCCTAAACCAAACTTGTGAATCTTGTTTTGAATGATAGATAACTCTAAGGGCTTAATCAGCCAAATGAAATAGACAT